TACTAAACATGGACTTTTTTTTTTGAACCTCTTAAATGAGTTGAGGTTAGAATAAATGAATTATAATAATTTATATTTTGTTGTATTATAAAAGTATTTCTTCTCGACAGATGCTTTGATTTTTCCTAGATCTATTTTTCTTTTCCTGAGAATATGAATCAATTTTTCAATGATTACAAAACTTGAAAGTCATGAAAAAAAGAGAATGCCTTAAAGCTCTACTGAGAGGTTTGCTTATGCTAGTTATTCCATACTAAGCAGCTAGCAAAAATTAATGCTCCATTTACCTTTTTGACTATCAGTAACTTTATCCTAATTACATAAAATTTGAGCATTTTTATTTTTTTACAAATTAACAAAAAATTTGTAATATAATATAGTTGAGTTAATGAGTTATAAAATTAATATGAAGAGTAATATACTATCCATAATTCAGAAGAAACCTTTGTTGGGATTTAAGTAAAATAACAAATTATTTTTGACATTATTATTATTATCTAATCTTTATGATAATAGATTTACAATATTGTATTTATAAAAATTTAAATCAAATTGAACCTTTGAAATGAAATATGATTTTATTATTTTAGGTAAAAATCAATATTATTAGTATCAATTCTTAACTATTTATAAAACTAATAAAGATAATTAAATTCAATATTTTGAAACTCAAAGTTTTTGTTGTGGTTGAATCTAGTTTTAAGAAAAGTTATTTTTATTTATGCAATAAAACACCAAAAATTGTTGTAATTTTTTCTCTAATGTTTTGTTTATTAAAATAAATACATATTTTAAAAGGGTATTGGAGTTATTTTTTCCTCTCCCCTCCCCCTCTTAATTTTATCTTTATCTTTATTCTTAAGCAAGGTTTCTGCTATTAATATGGGGTCTTTCTAACAACTAATAATCAGATCTTAAATTCAGAATGTAAAACTAGAAATGAAGAAGGACTTTAATTTAAATAATATGCAAATTTATAATTTACAAACTTAACTAAAATTGATTGAATATTTTGGATTTTTATATTTTTGTATTTTATTAAATAGGAAAAATATCGATAATTAAGCTTACGAAAAATTTGATTAAATAATTGTGTATACCAATTGTAATATTTAAAAATTAATAAATTTCAGATAAATAAAATAAATTTGAATTATTAAATTACTATCCATAATCAAATCTTCCGCCTCATCTTTTTAATTTATTTTTTAGTTTAATTTAATTAACAATAAAAAGCTATAATATTAAACAATAATTAAAAAATTTAAACATTTGGATAATTGTGATTATTTTTATTAAAGACAATTACAAATCGTTAAAGTTGATGGAATATAACTAAATCTGCATTCATCCAATCTTAGCGAAATTAAAATTTTACCTTTAAATGATAAGCAACTTTATCTTCTTACAAATTTAAGTTATTTTTTATTCGGATAGGTAAAGAGGGTAGTTCTTATAGCTATCGGATAGAGTAATTAAGTATAAATATTACTTATTGTGATTGACTTGAAAAACAATAAAATACTATAAACTTTTTAGAAATCTTAAATAATTTGAGATGAAATAACAATTAAAAATAATTTAAGTTTATGGCATTATTTTAAAGTAGAACTAAATTCTAATTAAATTACTTGAATTTGAAGTTTTATGAGAAATAAAATAATTCTGATCATTTGACAAGGTAATATAATGTAAATTAATTTAAAAATTACTAATTGAAAATATAGTTTGGACATTATTAACAAGTAACTTTCAATTAAAAAACTTTCATAATTATAATTGTTATTAGCTTTTGAACGAAGATAATTGTCAGTACATTTGTTAACATGTGATGGCCAAACAAATGAAAACTGTTTATCTTGCTCTAAATCCTCTCAGAGAATTTATAGGTGAATTCAAGGTTTTTATATGTCTTTAGTATAATATAGACAAAAATAATAATTGCTAAACTTATTTAAATTTAAATTTATACTTTTTCTAATCAAATTTGCACACTAATAAATGCAAATAAGGTTATTTTGAAATAGAGAAAGAATGTTCATTATAGTATTATTTTATTAATATTATAGTCCATCGATAGTTAATAAAAATATGATTATATTTTTTGAAAGTTACAGTAATCCATTGAACTGGTAGTTTGATCTTACTTGTCAGAAATATCTTTTCTTGTCAGATTTGGGAAGTATAGAATAATCATTTTTTTATGAAGGCCAAGAAATATATTATTTTGATGGAACTCCTGATTACATTTCTTATTCAAGATAATGCAAGAAATGTATTATCGATTACTTTATTTATTTCTTAGAATACATATGCTATAATTAAAATTTTTGCTCTTTGTTGCCTTCATATCCAATATTTGAGAATAAATCTCAAAATTAAATAAGTTGTGCACTTTGTTAAGATAATTAAAATTTGATTTTCATGCGTATTTTAGTAACCTTAAATAAGAAATTTTTTAAGTTCTTTAATTGATTAAGAGAGAATAGAACAATGAACATTATCAACACAAGATGATCTTTCTATTGTTCCTGAAAAACTTAAATTATTTACAAAATTGAGTATAGTATATATTGAATATTGAAAGCATTAATTATTGTGTGTCTTGTCAAAATGGGTTTATTAAAGAAAATACTTTTTTCTTTAAAATGATGAGTTTTCATATTCAGATTATCTTATTAAGAGCCAAAAAAATTAAATTCAAAGTTTTATCAAAATATGAAAATTTAATGAAATTTTTAAAACACAAGCAAAATGAATATTTTGGTTCAGATTGTTTAGAGTGCTAAGAACACCAATTTATTATTGTAAGTTATGTCCCTTAAATTAATTCAAATAGAAAGTGAAAGTGAAAAATGTTCTGATTGCCCTCAATTGATTTAAGTATGTGTATCTCGTTTAAAAAAATAAAAATTACAGTATTTATATTTATCATATTAGGCTTATTAACAACAATATATAGTCACTAAATAAAATGCAATTTTCAATGAGAAATGCATTAAACCTTATGCATATCCAGCAACTTATTTTGATCCATATAATTAAGTTTCTGGATATTGTTTTGATAAGGAATGTAATGACTCCTTTGGATATAAATTCTCATACTAATCATGATTTCAAAATAAATAATAAGAAATAATCAATACTAAATATTGCTATCAATTTGTAATACAGAAGATAGATATCTATTTAAAGATTTCAGAGGAATTATGCAATCTTTATTCCTATGAAATATAAACGAAGCTAAAAGAAAAAATTGTTAGTTTATTTGAAATGTATTCTTTAAACAGTTTTAATGTTTACCCAATTAATCAGCCTAATCGATATTTTAATCTGTCAACTCTTTATTTTATTGTTTTATGGTTTAAGATTTTAGAAATACTCTTTTTTTATATTCATACATACTCCAATTTCTATTAAACAAATATCATATTACCTTTTTCCTTTTTTTTTTGAATCAAAAACTTAATTTACATATAGACTTTGTATGCATATCTTTAATTCTGATTTTCAAATATCAGCAAAGTTATCCAAGCATAGTAATCATAGTTGCTTTCTCAAATTAAAGCTAATATAAATATTTTTCTCAATAAAAATCAAGGAATTTTATTTGCCATATTTTATTACATATTAATATGATATATAGAAATTAGGTAATTATCGACACCTAGAAAATCGGGGATTTAATGCAGTATAGACTGCTTAGGAGTATTGAATTTGGCATATATTGAGTCCTTATCCAATGATTATAATGATCATTAGAATCACTTCTTCTCATGTATAAAAGAAAGTTCATCATTAAATTAGCCTTTCTTAAGCTTTATTAAAGACTGCCTTATCTTGGTGAATGGCAGGCATTAAAATAATTTAATTATTTATCATTTCAATTATTCGTAGTAAAATCACTTATTATGTATTCTTTATTCCTCAAGCCTTGTATACATCCTATTGATTTCTCGATAGGCAAAAAATTATCAATCACAAACACTTAAGCAATCGCTACCTTTAAATCATTAATTACTACAATAAAACTATATATTTAATAGACTTATTATAATTATTCTAGCTTTCCTTATTAAGGTCTATTTCTTACTTAACACAGCCATTAGTTGTTTAGAAACAAATAGCATCTTCCCTATTTCTTCTCTTTTAGCTCATTTTTTATTATATGATAGTCCTTAGGGTCTTAGTAATAAAAATTCTTATTTTATCATTCCTCAGATATTTGATATATATGCAAAAAATTCTGAAAGATATGCTATGGATAACAAATTATTTTTGCTAATTAAAAATAAAATTTCTCCAGAATTAATTAAAAATGATTTATCTTTAATTTTCCCAATAATTTTTATTATTGATATTAGAAAGTTCATATGTGATTATTGAATTCTTATCTATTATGAAAAATCAATATTTATGACAAATAAATCAAATATTTTATTTGTTATTCTTATAATCAGGATTTCTAATGCTTTACTATTTTTAGGATAATAATAGTTAGTTATTTTTAAGAATTAAATTTTTTATGAACTCCTCATATTATTCCTGCTGAGCTTACTTTATTTTAGCTAACGTAATGATATGAATATTTAACTGAGTTTCACCTTATTTGTCTTCTACCTCTTACAAGTAGAATATGTAACATGCATTCAAGTTTATTATTCTTAAACCAGATGGCATTTTGTACCATTTATGGAAGGGATTGAATCTGAGATTAATGTGTCTTTGCCTCCCAGATTTCTTTAGATTGATTATTCAATTTCTCATGTTGTTTTAATTTTGTTGTTCATGTTTAAATTTTAGGAATAATTCCTTTGTAATATATCCTAACAAGTTAATTTAATATTAATAATTATAAGATCCTTCATTATAATTATAACATAAATATTATTCCTCTTAATACTCATTTATTTTTGAAATATGATACTTTTCTTTTGAGTTGATTTTCTAACATCTTGGCTTACTCTTAACGAAGTTAAAGAACAGTTATTCCATATACCATTCTTCTTG